GCCCCATCGCCGGGCACCAACGCCCCTCGGCATCCCCTGCCACGCCCCTGCACCCAGCGCCTCTCACCGCTTCCCCCCGCCACCCCGCAGAGCGCTGCTGGCACCCAGGGCCCCCGACAGCTACCTCGGAGCCAGCGGCTGGGAGCATTGATTACAGGGTCTCGTAACCATGGCTCAAACACCACAGGTCTTCTAAAGCGTTAGAATGACAAGAAACGTTTACTGCACTGCTGATGCACGGGAAAAGTTTAGGAACAAAACACACTTATTTGACCGAGACCTGCTCTGTTACATACCGCTGTAGGAGTGCTGGTCCTGTCCTGGTACCCACCCGGCCTAGCAGACGACAACGGGGAGCCGTTGGACAGCCTTGTGCCCTCCACACTGGACGCTGCACACAGATACGCCATAAAGGTAAGGCCCTTGTCTGCTGTTGGAGGCCATTAAACTCACCGTTCAACTCCAGCACAAAGCCGGTGCTGTGCTTGGGCAGAGGCCCTGCTCCTCTGCCTCAGTGACCGTGTTAAAAGAAACGAGTACTTGCGTTTAAGACAATGGGGACAATTTTTCAATAGTTAAATACAGGGCTTTTCCTCTTCTTAATAACTGGGATTTTCAGTTTACTTTTTACTAGCGTTAGGGAAAACTAGTGAAAGCCCTGACTTCACCGAGTAGACTGCCGTATTCTGCATGTGTCATGAAGGCATCCTCCCAGTCTGCCCACAGCGGGTGACAGAAGGTCCTTTACAGTGGACCTAGGGTCTTCTGGGAGGTCAGGGTGCAGAGAAAGCAATACCACCATGATGAAAATAACCATCTCCGTGGTCTCTTTTGCAGGTTGCCTTTCACATCCAGCCATACAAAGGGCGCGATGACCGCACTGTGCATGAAAATATCAAATACATCACGGACAAGTTTGTTTTTCATGTAGGCTAAATCCAGCTGTGTAGTGTTGCTTTAAGCACAAACAGCGTGCAGAACTTTGAATTAAATGCATCAGAATAGTATCCAAAGATCAGTGCATAGGGGAGGGAGCTGCCTAGAGCCAGCCAACAGAGCAATACTGGGCAGGGGTCGTAATCAAATGCCACTTTCTCCAGCACTTCAATACCTCACCTTCAGAACCCAAAATTGCTTTCTCCTGCTCAAGTTTCTAAGCTTATCACCCATAGACTGGCACCTCTACCCTTTCTTTCAAAAGGGAAAGGAGAAGGCACAGGCGCTCCCATGAAGGTGGAGATAAAGGTTCTGGGAAAAGAGGCCCCTGCAGCCAACGAAGTCTCACACCGTGCTTGCCTTATAATGGAAATGCCTGCTGAGGCATTCATCATTCATCACCCCAGCCTCTGAGAAAGCTTTGTGCTCTCCTCTACATACGGATCACACACAGCTTTTTATATGTACAAGACCAGCACCAGCAAGAGTCTCCCGCTGTTTTATATCTACGATTCCTATTTGACACCGGCTGAATCCTGGGCCAACCTTCTCATGCCATCAGGCTCCCACTCTCTCCGCGACACTGCTTACGACGCTGTGTTCATAGTGCTGCTGGTGGAGGAGGGACACAAGCACGATACCCTCTCCGCAGGGTACGATGGCACGTACACATACTTTGCGTCCAACAGTTTCTCTTTTGGCTCATCCCGCCAGAACTGGAAAGCAATCAAAACTTTCTGCGACTCCAACAACCTGATATTCATCCCCAGCATTGGCCCAGGCTACACTGACACCAGCATTCGCCCCTGAACAACCGCAACACTCAGAACAGAGTCAACGGGAAGTACTATGAAACAGCTCTGCAGGCTGCTCTCATGGTCAGGCCAGAGATCATCTCCATCACATCCTTCAACGAATGGCACGAAGGCACCCAGATCGAGAAGGCTGTACCCAAGACGACGCTGACACGCCTTTATCTGGACTACCTTCCTCATCAGCCGAGCATGTACCTGGAGCTGACTCGCAGGTGGGCAGAACATTTCAGCAAAGAGAAAGAGCAGTGGTTGATGTGACTTCAGGATTTGCCTTACTCGGAAAAACATCCTGCTGACAAAGCTGCAGCACAGAGAAGCGCTTCAGAAAAAAGCGCTCGAGGAGATGCAGCCACAGAACCTTCAGCCTAACCAGGCCGCTGAGCGCAAGCAGCCATCTGCAAATATCCCAAGGACTGCGTAAGCCCCAGCTATGGACTCACGGGAGGAAGTGTTACAGGCAGCAGGAAATCTGCAAGCAGCAGTCAAATCTAATTTTCTGCAGATTTCGTACAGATGACCCTTTCAGAACTCCTCTGGAATTCACGAGGGGTGCTGGTTTGGGGGTCAAAGACCTGGTTTTTCTTGGTGTGGGTATGTTCTGTGATGTTCGACACGGTTAGCTGGGTTCCAGCATGCATTTCACCGTACACCCTTGGCCCGCTGTCTGCAGTGATCACATATGCCTCACTCTGCTAGCAACTCTGTCAGAGCATTCCTCTATCAGCTTACTGTAGAGAGGAGTAAATATTCCTTCAAATTGTCTACTGTAGGTGAAACTAAGCCATGCCGTTACATACCCTCTATTTTATCCAACCTCTCCTATACCAAGGAGTTCTGCAGTGGGCATTGTCACTGTGGTCCGCTGTATCCAAATAACTAAAGATAATTAGAGCTGGAACACTAGAGACTACTTACTACTACTACTACTGTGTGCGCTGGAAACCAAGGAAATGCAATGATCTATACTAAAAGCTCTTAACTGATTGTTTTGTGTTCCATGTTTTGAAAATTTAGATCTGAAGTTGCTTTATCCCCTTTAGTACCAAGGAAAAAAAATATTTGCAAAAAAATGCAACTGAAAACACCATTAATTTGTGCTTTGAAAGAGGTTCAGCTCCCAGTAGCTTTCCCTTTTTTGTGATTTTAGCCATGCTTGGACCCTTCTAAATTAGCCATAAAATTAATTTATACTTGTCTATATCAATAAGATGAGAAGCGGCAGCTCTGGATGTGAAACAAGGTTCTATTCATGACGACTCCATACACGTTCTTGCTAAGCACCTAAGTCCGTCAAAAGTGATGGACAACATGTCTAAAAATAAGCATTTATAACAAAATCATGCAAGTTGCTTACCAGTTTTTAAATTAATAGCAGCTCCACAAACTTTACTTTTCAATGAAGAATAAATACCAGAGGAAACTTTCATTCGTTCCCTATTTACTTCAGCTTAGCACTGTTTTCAGAAGAAAATCAAGAGAGGGAAGTCCACATTTAAAAAATGAAGATCAGCACACTAAGAGCTTTTCATTCTTTGTATTAGGAGGAAGTCAGGTCTTTCTGAGCAGCTCTCGTCTAGATAGGGACCATCTGAATACGGTTAGTTTTCAAAAGCACTTACAGTTTCATCTCAGTAGTAGGTTTTGATTACATTTAGAACAGAGAAAAACAGCCAGAGGACACCATAGCTATAACGTCACGAAAGCTCAAAAAACCTCTTTTCCATCTTTGCTTTTCTTTCAGTGCAGGTACAATAAACAAACACATGGAGTAAGTGTTAAGGGGAGGGTTGATCAGACACTATCTTCATCATCCCATCCTGAGAATAGTCAAACGTTCAAATTATTGTATTTCAAAGCCCAAATCACGTTAATAAAACAGACAGGTATTTGGAAATAGTACAGCAGCACAAAGAGGTCAGCATACATATTTGGGTTGGTTTCTCAGACTATAGCAGATGTGATACGAATTAACAGATACCCATCAACTGTTGCTCTGTGTTTTGGGGTTTTTTTATCTTTTGTTTATTAACCTTGACATAACCCATCGACCTTATTAAACAAGGCCATGAACGCCCATTTCCTGAATGCGCAGGCACACGGTGCCCAGCTTTACCAGCCCTGCAGAGCCTCCTCAGAGTCTGAAGTCTCAAGACGATTCTGGTATCAAGCCATACTTCTGCCTCAGGATTTCAACTGTAGATGTCAGTGCACTGTGGAGTGAAACAGAACCGTCAGAAAAAAGGTTTTTAAGGATTAAACTGCATTTTGAATCAAGGAGAACATGAACTCCAGAAACCAGAGTGTTTCACTTAGAAGCTTCTAGAAAGGGGTCTCCTGGGCTCAGAATCTGGAGCGCTCTTTCAGGATTTCTGAGCGTGCTGGTAATTAAGCTAAACAACATTAATGTGAAGGTTCAACTGCTATGGAAAAAGAAGCAAAACACAACCCACCCTAACCTGAAAGCTTAATTTCATTTAAAGTAAAGGAAAAGCTACAGTTATATTCAGCAAAGAGTGCTCACCAGCCAGGACGAATGACGGTGAATTTCCCCGACACAGATAAGTCAACCACAGTTGACCCCAAACGACACTCTGGGCTCTGGACATCCCCTATTGGGCCTCCATCGATGATTAAGGACAACTGAGGCCACAGGTCTTGGAATTCCTGAAAAAAAAAAGAGATGTGGCTAACAGTCCTGAAGATGGTTTGTGATCGTGTTTTAGCAGACACTACTGGACATTCTGGTGTCAAGGGAGGTGGTCTCTCCCCTTCCTCTGTCAGGTCAGCTCATTTTTTTTTCTGCCATTAACACATCCCGGTTTGATTTCTGAGAACAGATTTATCTCAGACATGCAGGATAGCCACAAGGATTCTCTGGTTGAAGACTTCTTGGCTGCACCACTGTTTATTAAGGAGTGCACAAAAAAAAGCTAGAAGTCTATCAAGACGTTTGGGGGCAAGGACAGGGCGTCTGTCTGGTACTATGCCCAACTATACCATCACCAGGGTCACAAGCTTTGCAAAAAGACATCTCCTTGAGTGACAGTTACCCGGCTGCAAGGAGCTGTACAGACAGCAGCAGTCTCATTCCACAGCCATCCCTCCTACACCAATTTCCATCTTTCGGATTTGGCACCCACTTCAAAAGCTGCACATAAGCTTTTAAATATTACTTTTCAGCTCTGCTCTCCTCGCTTTTTAAGGTGAGGATCACAGCAAGACAGCTACCCCACACCACATATCCGCAGGCTGTTTTAACTAGAGATTATTATTTAAAAAAAAAAAAAATAGCAGCAGAGAAATCCTTGTTTTATTGCTAAAGCTGGCTTCCAACTGTGAGAGCCCTTGGCTCTGACAGACTACCACAATAATATCACTTAGTGGCAAAAACAGCCTTACCGAAACCGTCAGCGTGCTCGCCTGACAGCTGATGTTAGCACTTGTTAAAGCCAGTGGTCCAGAGCAAGCTCGTGCCAACTCCCTAATAAAAGGGTGGTTTGGAATACGAACACCAACCAGCTACAAGGAAGAAGAGAGCATGGTTTTACACGCAGTAACCATTTTTAATCTTGCATTGCCTAAAGCCTTCTTGACTTAAAGCTGATACTCCAGAGAAGCAATAAATCGGCACCTGCTGAACTAGCCATGATGAGAGACGTGCCTTCATAAGTTAGCCCCTAACGCTGGGTTATGCCGTGTTCAAATAAGTCACGGGGAGCACAACAGCGCAGGGACCAGCTTCGGGAAAATGCGAATCACTGCTAAGCACGCTGAACACACACATAAGAATAAAAGCTACTACAGCAGAAGCACAAAGATAGCACACTGTCCCTCAGAAACACAGAGATATATCCTGTGGCAAAGACCTACCGATGTGAAAGGGTTCAAGTCTTTATTTAGTTCTTCTGAACGTTTTAAGACCAGGGTCACAGGTCCTGGAAGTAGGTCCCGCAGCAACTCATCCGGCACGTTCACGTGGCAGTATCTACATGGCAAGAGGAAGCGCGTTAACGGCGGGTGCGCAGCTACACCCAGACTGCTGGTGCTGGGCACTGCGACTCAGCTCCAGTGCAGCCCTTCCCCTCGGTCTCACGCTCTGCGGCGTGGCAAGCAGAAAGCAGCCGCCCCCCGCCACAAACGTCACCGAGCACCGGCAGCACCCCGC